TTTCTAGGGTATAGCACCCTTAACGCAATAGCGCCTTGGGGAAGTCTCCAAATTCCCAGCTAAAGCACTCGACGCAATCCTCTTCTGGTTTCGGCTCGGGAACTTCACGGCCGGCCTCTTCAGCTGGTGGCCAGGGCTGTCCGAGTACCTTGTCAATCACGTTTGCGATACCATGGGTGCGAATGTCGACTGCCCAAGAACAATTCGTGACAGTGTCGTAAATGATTGCGTTGCCTTGGTGACACCTGCGGTACACGAAAACATACGAGTGAGAAGGGATATGGGGACAGGTAAGGTACAGTACGCACCGGCTCTCCATAGCGTACCCTCCAAGCGCGCAACTGCTCAAGACGCCATTGCAAGTACCCATCGCGATTGGGTCTGCGGTGTGATAAACGTGTGTGATATGTTCTGCAGCGATGGGGACAGGTAGATGTAGACGTTGTGCAGCCATCTTCTCTCCTGGTGCCTCAAAGGCTACCGTCGGTGCGCCGAACGTCACACCGAGTAGTGCAGCTAGGGCACCGCCTGGGAGTACTCAGTCAGCCTACGACCCCAACATTCTCAGCGCAACACTCACCAAGTGAGTGTCCTGTGAGCCAGATCGTGGAGTCGGGGTACAGATATGTGAGATTGTTGTAGAGGTTCTGTAAAGTGCATGTTGATCAGCCGTCCATCGTCCGAACATGGATGAAAAGTGTTTACCGTGCCAATGGGATAGAACAAGCTATCCTCAATCAACGCCTCCTCGATACAGTCCTGATCGCACTTCCATCCACCCCTATAGCAGCCGCACACCGTCGTCCAAGTCCAGTCTACATGCGCACAACAACAACTGAAGAGCAGGTTGTCGTTCAGCTTGTCCTTGCGAGTCGTCGGACCTCCGCCCCCGATGAAGCCGGTACTTGTCCCCTTGATGGCCAACACCACAGTGCTGTTATCCGGTGTAGCGAAGACGTGTCCACGGAAGCCATCTCCGTCTGGTTCGTACCCTACGGGCATGTTCTGTCTGGACACCATGAGGGACTGCTCGATGACGCGCCGAACCGGAGAGAACGCACGGAGGTCCAGTTGCCGGACAAGTCATACCAGCCGGTGTCGGTCTCATTGGCGTAGTACGCGTTACTCGTCATCTTGGCCAGCGTCAACAAAGTCTCCCGCGAGCTCGTATCCGGACCAGGGACCTCGTCCTCCTCCCAGCCACCGTCGTCAAGTCGTGACCATGCGCGCGCTCCTCGGCCGAGTGCACTCCTCGTCTCCGTTGAAGGTCTTGGAACACGTATAATCCGCTGCTTCACAGTCTGTAGTCCCGCGGCTTTCACGCTGGCGCTGCGAGGTGAAGCAAAGGAGACATGTCCAGAAGGCGAGACGTAGTGCAGATGCCGTAGCTCGAGACTTAGTTCATTATCAGGCGCAGCAGGCGGAGTCCAATAGGCGAGGAGGGGGGCGAGAAGCGATACGAGCACACTGGGCAGCATCGGGCGTCGCGCGTTCACCGACACATCGACGCAAGAGTCAGGTTCGAGTTCAGTGGCCTTAGCGCCCAGCAGGCTGCGCTACGCTGCATGCACGGATGTCGGGCCGAGTCCGAAGGGCCACTCGTTGCGGAGCTCGATGGCTTTGGGTGCTTTGCTCGCTGTGCCGCATGGTGTCCGTGATCACTATTTGCATTACTCGCTCGTGGTCGGCGCATGGACCAGTCTCACAGTCGTGTAAGCTGTTTAGAGTTTACGGTATGATGCCCTCAGAATTGTGTACGTATGCTGCGCGTTGTGCGAACTGTACGATAGACGTAATATCACAAGCTGGTGTGCCTTCTGCACGTCTCCACTACAGTGCGCGATAACTTCGGATAAGCCCTTAATTGTCTTCGAAGAAAGAGCGTATCCACCGAGGGCGAGTACACAAACTTCAAGGGTACCGAAAAAGACCTCATTCTGTATTGGATATACGACTAGAGCACACGGTCTGACATATCCGAGCATCTAGTCTATGGGGCGGGAGTGGAGCATTCGGACAAAGGAAGGAGCGCTGAAGATAGTGGAAGTTCGGGGCGGAGAGGTTCCCTACTTTGGCCCTCGGAGATCAACATCCCACTGCTAAGGCTGATTCGACGTCACATCGCGCCTCGGAGATCTTGAGCATCCTTTCCGTCTAGGGACAAAGGACCGGGACGATCTTCTCATGGAGAGCCGGACACGTCAAGAGAAGATGAAGGCACATCGTCGCGGCCGGAGAGAGCCTGCGACGAGCGATGGTCGGAGGCGCGGTGGTTAACGCGCAATTGCCGCACGGTGTCGTTGTGTTGAAAGGTCAGGTACTGGCGGTGACACCTGTAACGTCGAAATAGACAGCTTCCAAGAATATCATAGCGGCCTGAGAGATTTCCGAGATGGGGGGTGGAAGGGAGAAGAACGAGGGCGTGCATTCCGCCTTGGGATGCCGGCGGGAACAGATAACTTGTCGGGACTGACATCATGCACCTCGGTTTCGAGAGAGACGGTCGGTGCAGATTTATAGTTACATCTTGCCCTTGACCTTCATCGCGCGCATTGTCCTGCCCTAAGCCATCAGCTGAAACGGTCGCCACAAGCATATAGGTACGGAAGCCGGTGCCGTAGGTTTAGACACGCGGCGCTTATACGGCCGCCTGCAGACTATATATTTCCCCACACGCTTACGGTCCTCTCGTCGCCGCTGCGCGTTTCGCCTCTCCCCAACCAGATTCTTCGCTTGCCCTTTTCAATTCCTGACATCGAGAGACGCTGAACATGGCCCCACCGCTTTCTCACCCGCCCAATGTCAACTTTGTTGATGAAGCCAACCGTCACCCTCACTCGGAGGCCGAGCATTACTATGGCGGCCCCGAGTACCACAGCCGCTCCAGGACATACTCCGTGAGTACTTTGTCTCTGCATCAAGCACATCCCAACCATTTTTTGGTTGTTGGGCCAATGGCCGGATGACATGGGCTGCTCGCTGTGCTTCGGCGTTGACTTCCCCTTCCGCCGCATTCCGCGCTTCGAACGCCCTGCTGATGCTCTTTCCACAGTCCGGAGGCGCCGGCAAGTCAATTCGCCCTCCCAACTTCCAGTCCGACTCGTACACCAAGACGCGCCGGCTATCGCACGACGAGAAAGCTTCGGCACCACGCCGCTTCTTGATCGACGTCGAAGACACGATCCGCCTCATCTTGGAGCAAGAAGACACCGACGGCGACTTCCAGATCTCTGTCACCGACGCCGGCCCGAAGATCCTCTCGCTCGGAACCGCAACGAGTAATGGATACAAGACGTTCGACATCCGGGTAAGTCCATTGCCTCTCTCGGTCGGGCCACAAGACGCATTCTTCTCACGCGCCACACGTCCAGGGCACGTACATGCTCTCCAATCTCCTGCAAGAGCTCGCGCTCGCACGCGACCACGGCCGCAAGCGCATTGTACTGGACGAAGCGCGCTTGACGGAGAACCCGGTGGATCGCCTGTCGCGTATGATCAAGAACTCCTTTTGGCATGCCCTCACGCGCCGCATCGACGGCGACGGCCTCGAGATTATTTGCGCGGATCCCAAGAACAGGACTGGGCGCATCCAGCCTCGCATCTACGTGCCGCACGGCGAGCCCCGCATGGCCGAGTATTACCGCGAGATTGCACGCGAGAAGCCGCATCTGAACCTTGACGTTCGCGTGCTGCCGCCCAATCCGGATGACCCGGCCTTCGTCAAGAGCCTGAACGGCGCACCCGGTATTCTTGCGCTGGCTATGCAGGAGGCCGATAACGGCCATGGCGGACGTGGGCTGAAGGGTGTACCTTTTGTGGTGCCCGGCGCACGTTTCAACGAGCTGTACAACTGGGACTCGTACTTCATCTCGCTCGGTCTTCTCGTCGACGGCTATGTTGGCATGGCGCGCGGCATCGTTGACCACTTCATCTTCGAGATCAAGCACTACAACAAGATCCTCAACGGCTCCCGCTCTTACTACCTCGCACGTTCGCAGCCGCCTTTCCTCACCGACATGGCCCTGCAGATCTACAACCAGCTCGATCGCACCGACGGCGAAGCCAACCGGCAATGGCTGAAACGCGCTATTCAAGCGGCCATCAAGGAGTACCACACCGTTTGGGTCTCCGAGCCGCGGATGGACCCTAAGACTGGACTCTCTCGCTACCGCCCCGCCGGTCTTGGTATCCCGCCGGAGACCGAGGCTACGCACTTCACCCACATCCTCGAGCCGTTTGCGCGCAAGAACGGATTGAGTGTGCACGAGTTCAGCGAGCGGTACAACGCTGGCACGCTCAAGGAGCCCGCTCTGGACGAGTACTTCCTACACGACCGTGCTGTGCGTGAGAGTGGACACGACACGTCTTACCGCCTCGAGAAGCGCTGTGCCAACCTTGGCACGATCGACTTGCAGGCGTTGTTGTACAAGTACGAGGTCGATATCGCTACGGCCATCCGCGAGGTCTTCGACGATGAGCTTGAGCTTGAAGACGAGTTCGACTTGATGCCCTTCCCGCCCACACCGGAGACGTACGCGAACCCGCACAGGGAGAAGAGTACGAGCCGGGTGCAGCGTGGTGATGAGTGGTTCGCCCGCGCGGAGTGGAGGAAGGGCATCATCGACAAGTACTGCTGGAACGAGAGCAAGAGTCTGTACTTCGACTATGACACCGTCCAGGAGAAGCAGAGTTTGTACGAGAGTGCAACGGCGTACTGGGCGCTCTGGGCTGGCTGCGCCAGTGAAGAGCAGGGTTGGAAGCTTGTGTAAGCTTGATCTTAGCTCTATGGCTCATCGGTCCTGAAGCTGACTACCTGACAGGTCTGAGTCGCTGAAGAAGTTCGAGGTGCTCGGTGGATTGGTTTCGGGTACGGAAGAATCGCGCGGTGTCATCTCACTCGACAGGCCTAACCGTCAATGGGACTACCCCTACGCATGGCCTCCTCACCAGATCATGGCATGGGTCGGCCTCGAACGCTACGGCTACCTCGAAGATGCCCAACGTCTTGCCTACCGTTTCCTCTACATGATGACCACCGCCTTCGTCGACTTCAACGGTGTCGTCCCCGAGAAGTTCGATGCCGTCAAGCTCTCGCATCTCGTGGACGCAGAGTACGGTAACCAGGGCATCGACTTCAAGATGATCCCTCGCGAGGGCTTCGGGTGGATGAACGCTGCGTACCAGGTCGGCTTGTCATTCTTGACGACGCACATGAGGAGGGCTGTCGCGGCATGCACCAGCCCCGAGGTGTTCTTCGGACGCGCCGCAGTGCTGGGCGAGGGAATGGTCACAGGTGGTGCGACTACGGACCCGCTCGGTTTGGCCATGGAGAACATGACGCTCGGCGAGGCCCAGGGCGCGAACATCTCGTTGCAAGGAGGCGACGAGCGGACGCCGCCGCCCCAGTACTCGTCTGGCCCCGGCGCACTTCCGGCGTAGACGGGTCGACCCTTGCCCCTCCCCTCATGATAATGACTTGCCATAGATCGTCGATGCACCTCGCTCCTATCTCATCATTTCTGGATTTCTATTCTTGAACGACTAACTGTATAGTATATCGTACGGGTTCGTGTGTCTAGATGACGGACATGCTAATGCCATTCACCTTGACGTCTTTGTCCACGATACGTACCGACAAGGAGCGCCAAAGCACATCCACGCATGAGTCTTTGATTGATCAGGATGAATCACTCAGAATAGGTATTGACACGAATTGCGGCAGTCTATGACATTGCAAAGGATATTCAAACATGAACACACTTTCTACACGGTACGCTTCTAATCCAGCTTAACAACCAACTTGCTCACCAACGCGTCGTTCTTCAGAATCTTCTCCTTCAGCTGTGCGACTTCGTCGATGTCCCAGGTCGAGTCGTAGAAGCGGCCACGCAGCCAGTCGTATTTGCCGGAGGTCAAGGCAAGGAACGTGCCGCTCGACAGCTCGGGTGGGTCGGTGAACCACTTCCTGTCGGCGCCAGATTCGCGTGAAAGCTCCGTGTCGACAGCCCCGGGATGGACGGCAAACGGCTTCACGCTGGGGTGCTCTGCTTCTTGTCAGAGTGGAACCTGCTAGAGGATATAGAGATGCTCACCAAGTGCAACGTACTCGACGAAACGACCAATTGCGTGCTTGCTCACGCCTTTACATCCTCAAGTCAATACATCGAAGAAGAGGGAGTTCACAGGTAGACGCTTACCGTAGTCAGACGCCGTCGGGATCCGCAGCTGCGCCGTCATGGTACTCACTACCACCACGTAGCCCTCGCTCTTCTCGAGATGCTTCAGCGCAGGGCGCACGAAGTTGTAGACGCCGAAGATGTTGACCTCGAAGGTCGCCCACCAGCCAAGCGAGTCCTCGCGGTCGCCGACACCTGGATGGCGACATTCAGCACATCTTCCTAGCAACGGATCAGCCGGGGATCACTCACGCTTCTCGAAGGGAAGGCAAGCTCCAGCATTGGCGACGAGCACATCAAGCTTGCCGAACTGCTTGACCGTCTCTTCAATCGCACGTTCCGCCGCGGCCGGGTCTTTGACGTCGACGGTGAACGTCAAGACTTGCGCACCGGGAGTGCCCTTCACAATCTCGGCGCGCACTTGCTCGAGAAGGTCGGCGCTACGTGCAACGATCGAGACGGAGGCACCTGCACGCGCATAATGCTTTGCCGCGCTGGCACCGAGGCCACGAGAAGCACCAGTGACGAGTACAACTTTGCCGGCATAGCTCTTGTTCGTGAAGTGAACCTTAGGGTCGATGCCCGAGTACACGCTATATGAGTGATGATCAGTCATGGATACTGTAAAGAGGCAAGGAAATGAAACGTACGCATGATGTGTCTTCACCGGGAGCGTCTCGTCGAGGCCCTTGAAGTTGGGGAGGTCAGACATGGTGAATATCGAGAAGAGGTAGGCGTTGAGGGTGTATTGGAGATGATACTCAAAGCACAGCAGACAAAGCCTTATATACGTACGCTCTTGCACCATAGTATACTGTGTCTGACCAGTGCGGCCGGATGCCCGCAAACGAAAGCGTAGAGACGCTCGGTTCGTGAACCGGACGCGTAGTGAATAAATGTAAGCGCCCGGTTCATAGGTCTACGACCCACTTTCGGCTTGATCCTTACAGCTACACAGTCTGGTTCTCGGCATGCCTAAGACATGTGGTATGCCGTCCAAGAGTCGGCGTTGTCAGTGAGTGGAGGAAAAGCCGGTAGAACAGAGCGTCATTGGTTGCGGATTGCATGCCGTGGCCGAGGCTTGCCCGATGTCCGAGCTCTCGCTGGTTTCAGATTTCAGGCGTTGTCTGTTGTATATGACCCTATCTGGAGCGAGTGCAGAGCCCCGAAAGCTTTGGCTAGCAAACGAGGTTTCGCCATCCAATAGGCTGCAGGTCACGGTGAGCAATAGCGACGTGGCAGAACATTCACTGGTCTTTTGCTATGCGAGTACGAACGAGAACGTCGATTTCTTTCAGCTTCTGCCACAAAGTCTCGAGCGTCGTAGTACGCCTTAAGTATAAGGATGGCACACAGTGCCACATAACCATAGGATCATGCCTGGCGCGTACAATCAGAGTTTGTGGCGAGTCGCGTCGGGCCGAGACGGGGCCGGATAGGGCCGGAGGTCGCCTGCTTTGATCCACAACTTGCACCTATACCGCCATATGAGGATACTCGCTAGTCTCTTTCTTGCTGTGGCCTCAGCCGCCAGTGTAGCTTTTCCTGCTGCCGCTCCCAGCTAGCTGTGCTCTGTTCGGAAATACCGAGTCTATCGCGACATGGGAAGGTCCATACGCTCCCGACTACCGCGACTAGCGCGCTCACTGCCAATCGACTGCTAATTGTGATGGTATTCCGGAGTCTACGAAGCAATCCTCGCCGGGGTGAGTGCTACGAAGCTATTTGGAAGTACCGACACTCATGCATACGGAATGATCCCTCAGATATTCGTACGCTCGGCCCACTCGTGACATCGCCATCCTACTGGAGACCCCCCTGTGGTTACCCAGACACAAAGTAGATGCTACGCCGCCAAAGAGTCACTTGATCCGGCCCCGGATTAAGCTTGTCATACTACTTCGACTACATTTCCGAAAGATGCGCCGGACCGTGGTCAAATATAGCAAGCCGTGTTGCAAAGCGGGATACCACGTTGGAGAACGTAGAAGAGCAGTTGCGGATTGGTGGCCGAAGATTAGAACCAACTCCTACGTCTCGTCGGTAGCTGCACCGAGCCAGTGTCTGTGGCCGCGGATAGGCCGTACGCTCTTTGTGTCTTTGATGACTTTCTGTACTTAGACTCCGCAGAACAATGGGATATGATATGGCCATTGTGGCTCCGAATCACGTTCAGAGCTCAGCAATCCCTGACCACTGCACTCATCATCAGGTACTGGGCTGAACGTCTTGGCCGTGGAGAGCTCTGCAATATAGAGTGGTTATATCCTGTCACACGCGTCAAACGGAAATCACTGTGTACGAAGTTGGAACCGGTCTTGGGCAAGCCACGCACGCAAGCGTGGTTTGCAGAATTGTTCAAGGTTCACCTGTGGGCTCGTTCCTCATCTGATGTGGTCGACGAAACCACTTGTGGATCTGGGTTAGATATATTGCCCATCCTCGGCTTCGTTCTTCAACGTTTCTCGCCCACATTCACGCCCCAAACCCACTCATTTTCTTCTTTCACGTACCACGACCTCTCCTTCACTCTATCGAATCCTCTTCGACATGGTGTTCCCTCGTCGATTCAGTCAACCGGATTTGACTCTGCTCGACGCTTCTGTGGACGGCCGGCCAAGGAACGTCACTGCGTCCGGCACGCAGTGGACTTCCAAATCTACTTCATCCAGGCCTGTGTCAACGCCTTCAGGTCCGAGTTCACCCTCCCGCCCCCCCGCAAAGGAGAAGAAGTGCGCTATCCGAATCACGACAGCCTCCCCAGAATGGCATCCACTGTTCCTCGCACCGGAACCCATAACCCCTATCACGCACACGGAGTACGATGCAGACGCCGCCGTTAGGAAACTCGTCAACGCCGCCGCCGACGCTACCGCGAGCTCGTACTCATACCCTCTCGCTGACGCTTTGCCCGTCGAAATGTCCTTCGATCCGCTCTGGCTTGATTATGAAGAGGAGCCCTGCCCATTGACAGATCATGATATCTGCGGGTCACGGGAGGCGCCTCAGCAATTCGTCGACCCAAGCAAGATCATCGTTGACACTTTTGCGCCTGTAGTCAAACCGGGGACAAAGAAGCGCAAACTTGGGGATTCTGCGCATGAGGACGCTAGGAAGACAAGGAAAGCTCGTGGCGCCAGGTCTTCGGGGAGCGGCCGTGATAACAAGAGTGAACCTACGGGTGGATCCGCGGAGGTGAGTGCTTGTTCGTGTTATTCCCTGTTACTCCGGCTGATGGTTCACTTCAGCACAACACACCCGATGACGGCGTGCGACCTATCCCTACAATTGCTTCGTCTCGTGAGCTTCACGAGCTCCTCGGGCGCTCTCAAGTATGGGCTATCTGCCCAACCTCGGTTGGACAGCTGCCTCCTACTTCTGGTATCTTGTACTACGCTCGCTCGATTCGGCCGGTCAGTGGCGGTAAGAACGGACTGGTGCTTCAGGTTCGTTACTCTCCATCGTTGATTGAATGGAGTTTCATTTTTAACTCTTACGATTAGAGCAAGCGCGACGTGGAATCGCTCACCTTCGCCCAATGCCACTGCGGACGGACGCAAGCGAAATCTTCAACCAATCGTCATGTCACCAGCACCCCCAATCATTACCCTCGCATCCGCGAGCATGCTCTCCCAAAGGTTGACTTCAAGTGGTATCGCTGCGATACTTGCGACTTCTCGTGAGTATTGATGTGCTGAAAATCGTACTGTTAAGCCGCTAATTGGTGGCTCCAGTAACGAACGGAAAGACATATTCGACGATCGTCACTGCTTCAAGGCGTGTAGCCGTCGCAATGAGCCCGCCGAGCGCTTCTGTCATCGACTTGAAGATCCGAATACCTGCGCGAAGATATTGGAACTCGTTCGCCCTCTGCGCGACGAATATGTTGAAAGAGACGTGCAGCGTCTCAATCAAGAGGCGATCACTGATCAACTCGTCGCGGAGGTTATGGACTCGTGGGATGTCCTTCCTGACCCCATTTGCGCGGTGCTTCGGCGTACTCAGCGCTACCACTGCTTCACTGAGGCAGATGTTAAGGCTCGTGACGAAGCCATTGACTTTATAACCAATAAGTCCTAGACCATATCACCCGTCACTCAACCGGCACAAGTACTGTTTTTCTGCATCGCTGCTCCTCCTTCCCTTCCCGCGTCCAAATGCTACCCCTCTGCCTCCGTATTGTCAACATCTACGCTCCTTTTCCGTTCACTCGATATTTACGATCCTATGCCCTTCTCCTCGCATGTCAACGACCTACCAAGAAACCCATTCCCGCTCTTCAGACTCCGCCCCTCCTGCCGCTTCGGTCATCCCGGCTTTCGCCACCCCTCTTCTCTCAAGGCCAGCCGCTCCTCATAACCTCATGATGTCAGGACCCTCACATCTCCAATGTAGCATAGTTCTCGTCTCTAATGATACTCTTCAAAGAATGCAACCCGAATGACCGTCCATCCCGTTATTTCCTTATTCGCGTCTTGGAAGTTGTCCGAAACGCATGCACACCGTAGCATCTTCCAACGGGCATTTACGTCTGCAGACACGTCCACAGGGAACATCATGACATGTGTGGACACTACAAGCACCATTCTCACAGAACAGAGGCATCATCTACAGGTCTCTGGGCTTCTAACTAGTCAAGCTTAACATCCAACTTGCTGACTAGCGCATCCTTGGCCAGGATCTTCTCCTTCAGCTGCTCAACCTCGTCAATGTCCCATCGGGAGTCGAAGAAGCGTCCGCTGAGCCAGTCGAGACGACCCGACGTCAGAGCGAGGAGGACGGCGCTGACGAGCTCAGGCTTCTCAGTCAAGTACTCTTCCGGGATACCGGAACCGCGAGTCATGTCGGTAGCGACAGTGCCGGGATGCACTGCCAAAGAGCATACAGTGGGATACTCTGCTCCTGTTTAGATGACGATTGTGTGACTGCAGAACATTGCTCACCGAGGGCGATGTATTCGACGAGGCGACCAATTGCGTGCTTGCTCACCCCTGGATCGCTTGGTCAGATGGAGTAGAGCAAACGAGAGCAAACGCATCCTCACCGTAGTCTGAGAGGGTCAAGAAACGCAACTGCGCGGTGACTGTGCTTATAACAAACACGTGACCCTTGCTCTTCTCGATGTGCTTCAAGGCGGGTCGTACGAAGTTATACACGCCGAAAATGTTGACCTCAAAGCTATTCCACCAGGCGAGTGGATCCTCACGCTCGCCGATGCCTGAGTTCTTCCGTCAGCGGCGTAATGACCACGTGCAGTCATGTTGCTCACGCTTATTCAACAGCGGGGCTGTAACACCAGCGTTGGCGACGAGGACATCAAGACCACCGAGCTTTGCGACAGTCTCCTCAACGGCGCGCTCGGCCGCCACGGTATCCTTGACATCGACGGCAAAGGTCAATACCGGCGCGCCAGGCGCCTCTGCTTGAATCGTGGTCTGCACAGTCTTCAGAGAGTCGAGGCTGCGAGCGACGAGGGCGACCGCGGCGCCAGCCTTCGCATAGTGTTTTGCAATGACGGACCCGATGCCACGCGATGCGCCAGTCACCAACACGACCTGACCCGCGAAGGTCTTGTTCGTGAAGTGGGGCGCGACGTCGACTGAGGGGTATGCGCTGTATCACCATGTAATCAACTCCCATCAACTCCCGATGAACTCTCGTATCCAAAAGGACGACGTACTCGTGATGCAAAGTGACGTTGAGAGTCTCTTCTTGGCCCTTGAAGGTTAAAGACATGTTGTGCCGCTAGAGTCTGGGATCTGTACGCAAGGCTGTATTGGATACTTTGTGCATTTAGCGCACCCACCGCCTTAAGTACCCTGCACGCAGCGCTGCGCCTGAATCACGCGGCTCATACTTCTCAGGAGAGTTCTGTAGTTCAGGAGTGGTGTAAGGCGCAGAGAGTGGGATGGCAGCAGCGACGGCTGGTAATCCGCTCGGATGATCGGAAATAAGACGGGAAAAGGCCCTTGGAATCTACCATCGCCATTCTCAACCTTTTCAACTTTTGCAGAGAAGACGAGAGATAGACGAATTAACGCCGATGCCGTGAAAAATCGCGTTTGAGAGAGTATATTCGCTCGAAGCCGGGGCGGCTGTAATCCCGTAGGCATGTAAAGCGTTCGGAACGCGCCAGATGCTCTAATCCGACCGTTACATAGGCTATTGAGCATTCGAGATAAGGATGTGCGGATGTTCACGCGTACGCCATGTCTCGATGTATCCTTGAGCACGATATAGAAGAGGGCGCCGATAGATATCGCTCGTAGCAGGAGCTCCACACAGATACCGGCAGGCATGAGTAGGGCTGGAAGACGCGCTCTTCAGTTCGAAGGACTTCTTTCAAGTCTAGTAAGATTTCGAGCTGGTCGGTCATAGGAATCATATACGTTTCCAGCAGCTCGATGGAGAAGTGACCGATTGGTGACCGACTGAGCGGGTTGGACAGCGAGCAACGGACTCGTGGCGGTTGCGGACAGAGCACGTAGCGGATCACGACCGCGCGGCGCCCCGGGCCGATATCGGATCAATGTTCGGAAGACTCGGCACCTTGCCCTGGATGTCCGTTTGGATCCTGGGCTTCGAACCCCTTTGAAGGAGACCAACTACATAGTTCTCGGCGGCCATTACGCTCGCATCATAGGCCGCGTCTCTCGATATCGCTGTTGTAGCTTAGCACTATGCGTCATAGCCGACTCAGCAACCCGAAGCTTTCTCTCAGTTGGCCAGAGTAAGATGGATGTCGTGGAGGACGAGTCCTGATCATGAATGTCACGCTGTACTACCCATTAACACATATCCAATGTCTGAAGCAAGTGAAGCCATATGCTACACAAGTCACGTTGTACGAGATTCTCAGACAATCTACTCTGCACCTCTCTAATCCAGTTTCACGTCCAGCTTGCTCACGAGCGCGTCCTTGGCCAGGATCTTCTCCTTCAGCTTCTCTACCTCATCGATGTCCCATCGGGAGTCGAAGAAGCGTCCACTGAGCCAATCGAGACGCCCGGAGGTGATGGCGAGGAGAACGGCGCTCACGAGTTCAGGCTTCTCAGTCAAGTACTCCTCCGGGATACCGGAACCGCGAGTCATATCAGTATCGACTGTGCCGGGGTGTACCGCCAGGGTGTGCACTCCCGGATACTCTGCACATCATCAGACAACGGTACCACGACAGAAACAGACAAGTATTGCTCACCGAGGGCGACGTATTCAACCAGGCGGCCGATCGCGTGCTTGCTCACTCCTAAATCGCCCGGTCAGATCCGATAGAGAATGCAAAAGCGCGCGGGTCCTCACCGTAGTCAGATATATTCAAGAAGCGCAACTGAGCGCTGATAGTGCTGATGACAATGGCGTATCCGTTGCTCTTCTCCAGGTGCTTCAAAGCTGGGCGCACAAAGTTGTATACGCCGAAGATGTTGACCTCGAAGCTGTTCCACCAAGCAAGCGGGTCGTCACGTTCACCAATACCTGTCTTAGGCATGAGCATTATGGCCGGCGCGATATGTCGCCACATCACTTACGCTTGTTTGACAAGGGAACGGCCACGCCGGCGTTAGCGACGACGACATCAAGGCCGCCGAGTTTTGCGACGATATCTTCCACAGCGCGTTCGGTCGCGACAGGATCCTTCACATCGACGGCGAAGGTCAACACCCGCGCATCGGGAGTCTCAGCTTGAATCGCGGCTTTGACCGCTGCCAGAGACTCGGCACTGCGAGCGACGAGGGCGACCGCGGCGCCGGCCTTCGCGTAGTGCTTCGCAATGACGGAGCCAATGCCGCGCGAGGCTCCGGTGACTAGAACGACTTTGCCAGCAAAGGACTTCTTCGCAAAGTGGGTCGCGGTATCCACCGACGGGTACACGCTGTGATGTAACTAATCAGTCTCCGGACATTGAAGTATTGTGGAGGCCGACATACTCATGATGGAGGGTGACGTTGAGCGTCTCGTCGTGGCCTTTGAACGTGAAGGACATGGTGTACGTAGATTGAGATCCAGCAATGGGATGTACAAACTCGTGGACACGGTCTGCTGCTTTAAGTACTTGGTAGTATTCGCAGGGCCTGGATTGCGCGTCCCATACTTCTGCGAACGACGCTGCAGGAGTCGGGCACGGTGCAGAGACCCGGACGGCGACAAAGTCATCCAGCAGTCTGCTTTGTAAGTTTCGATGTAAGGCAGAAATGGCATTTGGTAAGACTGTGGCCCACACTCACTACTGTTCAGTCCGCGCGTCAACGGGGAATAAACCGGCTAACGCCGATGTCTGACATATCAACACCGGAAGGATATCGGAATTAACGAGTGCTTTAAGCCGACACGGTTGTACATCCGCAACTCAAACGTACTCGAGATACACCAGACCCTCCAGTCCATTCTCTATATCGGCGCTCTTGCACTTGAATGGAATCTGTAGAGAAGCCACGGGGTATCCCAGCTCTCGACGCGTCTTCAAGCACGCTATGAGAGCGGGGGGCACGTAGTAAACGTCGTCCCTGGAAGATCCCCCAACCAAGGACCATCGTGTATAAAACGGCAGGTCCGATATACCGAGCGTCTGCAATGTAGGAAAGGCCGGCTTGCCCCCGGCTCGCTTCTGTGCCAATGCGTCGAAGATATTCCATAATGGCAATTCGCGAAGGTATAGCTCCCTGTGTATGTAGAGCGAAAGCGTGGCTACGTCGCTTGCTGATGTGATTATCAGTTCAGTGGCCGAATCCTGCGCAATCGCGGGTCCATCGAAGATGCGTTGTAGCATTTGCGCCGAGATCGCGACTTGGTCGCAATGAATCTGCAGCGCGCGTGCACCAGAAAAGCACGCTTTCCTCAGAGCGGCAACGAGAGCATCGCTGCTGACATCATGTGGTTCAATATATCTGACTGATAGACGAGGGTCCCGCGATGTATGGACAGTGGGGGACGGCCTGCTGAGGGCAATCGATTCTTGGAGCTCTGCGACTTCCAGGACAGAGGCGGTAATGGACAGCCGGACGGCCGCGGGGGTGTTTGATCCGCCGAATAGATGTTCCAAGATGCCCGGAATGGCGGTATAACCCATTCCAAAGATGCTATATGCACGATTGAAGAGAAGAGAGATAGTAGCCTGCGGCGGTATGACGATAGACGACAAGAGCGCCAGGCACGTGTGAATGACAGGTCCGTTGAGTCCGAGTCCTACGACGCGGCATGAAGTGCTGAGGCTGATGGGGCCGCTGAGGGGCGAATGGGGCAAGACGCCGAGCAACTCGAGGGATTGTATGCGGTGTAAAGACGACAATAGGGTGTGCAAGTCGGCACCCGTCAGGCGCATATCATCGGGAGCGGTAGTTTGGGGGTGAATTTCCAATCTGAGGTGCGTTATTTGCGAGAATGGTACGGAGTCCCAGGGAGGTAATCGAAATTGACACAACGATAGGCGTCGCAGGTTATGGGCACCTCGAAATGATTCCGGAGGTAGCGTGCGATAGTATCGAGAGTTAGCTTGTAGCGTCAAGCTTTCAAGCATTGGGGAATGTCTGGAAAGATCGCAGATGATATTCATGAGGAGATCGTCTTCTTCAATAGCATGACGCGTAATGGTCGTCCGTACGGTGAAATAACGTATGCGTGTTCGGACTTCTGGGACAATCCACGGCGACGCGATGTCTACCAGTGGTCTGCGTGTAATGCTCGCTTCATATTTGACGGTCGACAAGTCAACCCGAAGAGGCAGAACTCCACTTCGCTCGATGAAGACTGGGAACCATCGCGTAGATAAAGTCGCCGCCTCAGGTACAAAGGCCCACAACCGTTTCTCACCGAGAGCCGCCTATACAGATGATGAGTTGCTACCGTGCGGACATATGAGTCTGGTCGTACCTCTCTCCATCGTACACTGACGTGGCTGACCTTGATCCATCCGAGAGAGGGTCTGTGCTGATATATTTCTATCCTCGGTGCCGTATTCTCAATCTGCACGGGCCAGGACCACGGTGACTGGAAGCCATGCGTCACGCCAGCAGGCGTGCCAGGTAACGAGGGCGGTTCCGCCAACTTCAAGAACCAAAAACAATGTTGTAGGATCTCAATCGGCAGCCTCTGCGTCACGTCGAGCCCGGTGACCTGCCCTTCGGCCATTGCCCTGAGCCGAGCAAGGATGGTGGCGGTCGCAGACGGAGGAGCGCGTGAATTGCTACGATGTCCGAATGACGCGCCCAAGTTGGCTTGCATGTGACAGTACTCCGGCACCTTACCCCGGATGTCCACTTTGCCCTCTCAGATGCCGTAGACAGAGCGCGACTTGCTCTCGACATCCATCACATTTAGTTGACCATGGCAGTACAGAGCAAAGTCGCAGCTCAACCGCCCAAGCGTTTGACGCCGTTCGGTTACGCGCTCGCGGGAGCCTTGGGTGGTTGCTTTAGCACTGCGTATGTCGCCACAGGTCGCTCGTTCGCCATCTTATGACTAAATCCTTCCGTTTAGTGTCGTCTATCCGCTGGACACGTTAGTACCACCGATTGTATGTCATATAACTGGTCTTAACAGTCGAATAGGATCAAGACCCGCATCCAAGCTGCCGACCATGACGACGAGGACTCGGACGAAGACAAGGAGGACCTCTCCATTCTTGGGCTCATTGCCCAGATATCCAAGGAAGAGGGACTCTGGGGTTTCTACCGCGGATTTGGAGCTACCATGCTGAATACCTTCTCCATGCGTGCGCGTCCATGTTCTTTTTGACCACTCTTGTATTGACAATGTCTCAGAATATGCGTATTTCTTCTTCTATTCTCTTGTCCGCGGCCAGTATATGAAGCGGCTGGCTGCACGTACCCAAACCGGAAAGGTCGCGAGCCCTGGCACGGCAGCGGAGCTTCTACTCGGCGCACTAGCTGGCGGACTTGCTCAAATATTCACGATTCCGGTCTCCGTGATCGCCACACGGCAACAGCTCGGATCTCATAGGAGACACCATCACCATCACCCTCCAACATATGTTGAAAAGGCAGCTGGGGCCGCTACAGAGGCACCTGAAGACGAGTCGTTCCTCGGTGTCGCGCGTGCTATCATCAAGGAGGATGGTATCACCGGTCTCTGGCTTGGTTTACGGCCCGGTCTTGTTCTCACCGTCAATCCTGCCATCACCTACGGCATGTATGAACGTGTAAAGGGTATCGTGCTTCTCGCACGCGCCGTTGCGGGCAAGGGCGACGGAAAACTGGGGCCGTGGTTATCATTCTTACTCGGCGCGACGAGCAAGACGCTTGCTACGGTGGTATGTACGAAGCACTCTCCGGAAGTCCAACCTTAATGTGTGCTAGGTCACCTATCCATATATTATGGCGAAGGTCCGGATACAATCTGGTACCGCCGATGATATTCCTGGGTTGGACGGCGTGAAGCGGAAACACCATCATCCTGGAGCAGTCGATATCCTCATGAGAGTGCTAAAACATGAAGGTTTCTTGGGATGGTACCAGGTGCACTTGACTGGCTCGTATCATCATTCGAAGTGGTACTGATGTTCTTCGTAGGGTATGGGCGCGCAAGTTCTCAAGGCGGTTTTGGCTCAAGGCGTGCTGTTCATGTCGAAAGAGAGATTCGAACATTGGGCACTCGCGATCATGGTGTTGTTCTGGCGTTTACAACATCGGGCGTGAGGATGAGCACGTTACGCGTCTGGACCCACCCGGACTGCACTTTTTATGCTAAGTTATCTGATTACTTTTGCCGCAATGGAGTCTGTATACAAACCCTGAGAATTGAGCCGTTGTTAGTGCCACAATTGCGAGCGAGTAGCCAGCGGATCTTCTCGCGCCGCGCAGGTATCCTATGCGTGCAGTGCATTTTTGAAGTCCATTCTCATCGCTATGTGCATGGATATTCTGCTCAAAAGCGACTCGTAGACTTGTGGCGCAGTTCCATGATGTGTCGCTGACTTGGAGTCGACCAAGCCGCTGAGTACGAGAGAGCTTCTACGCAGAAGTTCTTTCACTGCATTGAACCTCCATTCGTGCTTATCACCCGACCTCCTCTCCGCTTCCGCACTCACGCTGGCATGTCGCCATCTCGCGCAACCACGATATGTCGCAAGACTAGTGCTCAGCAGTGCTCTTACTCCCTGGGGGTCTTTATATAGCCTGCCAGTGCGATCAATAGAGCTAGCGTCCTTGCCTTGAACCATGGCTCCAGTCGCTACCTCTGAAGTTCCAGTTGAGAACGGTGTCTCGCAGTTGAAGGCTGCGCGTAAAGCGCAGGAGAACGACAACTCCAATGCACTGTTCAACCCGTTCTATTCGCCTGCGATCGCCGATGATGGCAAGGACGACTATCCGTACGCGCAGTACAAGGTCGGGACCTTCTGATCTCATCACAATATACATCTTGTTGACGACGCGTATAGCCGACCTTCCCCAAGGTTTCCTGGGCGCCTCTCGAGGATATTGCGGTGACAGATAGAGCGAGCTTCGCCGATACCGAGAAGAAGAGCTTGCTATCGGCGGCGAAGAGCGTAACCGACCTGACTCCGGCTTTGGGCACCGAGGTCATCGGCCTTGACTTGCGCCAACTCTCGAACTCGCAGAAAGACGAGCTGTACGTCGATCATGCCAGTATACTTTGATTCGCGGCTCATCGTTACACAGTGCACTCCTCATCGCCGAGCGTGGCGTGGTTTGTAAGCCTGAGCTCATCTCGAAGTCTACATTGGGAGCCTAACTCGTCGTCTAGTCTTCAGAGACCAAGAGATCAACATTCATGAGCAGCTCGACCTTGCTCGTCACTGGGGTCCCCTGCACAAGCATGCGACGACGCCAGTGCCGCGCGAAGCCGGGCTCGAGGAAGTACACGGTATGCCCTTCTATGCTCAATGCGACTACAGACTATAACGATCACACTCGTAGTCGTGTATAACGATGCATCTCGCCGCCCCGATCCCTCTGCGTTCTCAAAGCTCGAGCTTTGGCACTCCGATGTATCATACGAGGTCCAACCCCCGAGCACGACCTCCCTCAAGATCCTGACCGGCCCTGAGGTCGGCGGCGACACGCTCTGGGCGTCCGGCTACGCTCTGTACTCGAACCTGAGCCCTTTCTTCCAGAAGTACTTGGAGAGCCTTTCTGCTGTCCACAGCGCCGTCGCCCAGGCCGACGGAGCGCGGGCGGCTGGACTGCCCGTGCGACGCGAGCCCATCGAGACCGTGAGTGGCTTGTACCGTATGTTGAGATCATCGCTTCTAACTCGCTTCGTGATAGGTTCACCCTGTCGTACGTGTCCACCCTGTGACAGGCTGGAAGAGCGTGTATGTGAACCCCGGTAAGTCCATGCATTCCTTGTGACCCACAGTAGACGCTCATGAGCAACCAATCTCCAGGCTTCACTCGCCGCATCGTGGGTGTCCCCCGCGCCGAGTCGGAAGCCGTTCTGTCCTTCCTATTCCACCAGATCGCGGAGAACACCGACGCGCAAGTACGGTTCAAGTGGCGGCCTAACTCCATTGCGATCTGGGATAACCGCGTGCGTATCCTATGTCCTTCTCCCGTTCACATTACACATCATACACATGTACTCCTCATCTCGCCTTCCCTCACACGTCACTATGCCTTGCACAAAGTGGCGGAGACCGCCCGATTCGACCTTTTTCTCCCTTATCGCCTCGTGTGAACCTGCAGAACTGACTTCCTCGGTTCGTTCGTAGGTCGTTGTTCACACCGCTACCTTCGACTTCTGGCCGGCGACTCGTCATGCGTTGCGTGCTACACCTCACGGGGAGCGTCCGACCTCGGTTGCGGATTTCGAGCGTGAGACGGGACGCACGGCGCAGGACCGGCAGCTCGAGATCTGGCGCAAGCAAGGCGTGGAGATACCGGAGGTGAAGACCAACGGCGCCTCCCGCCCGAGGGGATACAATGACTGAATGTGACATATGAAACGGATGTACAAGTAGCGGTGATAGCATATACGTATACACTATGAAGTTCGAACCCCAGAGCTGGCTCAGCACCCGTCGACAACCCGTCGATCTCATGAGATTTGCCGCGTGTCCGTGACACGTGGGAACCACGCGAGTTGACAGGCGGGAAGATCCTGTCCGGGCGAATCGGGAGATTCAGCCAGATCTTGGTCGGGTCTGCCATTGCGATACAGGAAGCATATTTTCCCCATCGGGTGTGCTGAGGCTTACTGACAACGACTCAGTATGTATGGGCCACCCTCCTGTCGATACGAAGAAGCTGGTTGTTACTGTGAATGACCGCATGCGAATAAATCTGGCGCGCCGGCGGCTCAGAAGTCCGAGATTGTTCGCGATCGCGCGGACACGCGTCAAGCTGCGCCAGCCCCGCGGGCTCAACGCGGTGATGACGGAGTTTAAGTTTGTCGGTGGACGGCGACTCAGTCCTCGCGAAAAGAAAGGCTCATTGTAGCCCGTTGCACACAGGTCTCGGTGTAATATGGGTCTAGAGCGTAGGCATAATGCAGAAAGAAGACTTGAGAAGCGAGCAGCGGCGTGGGGGAGACTGACGCGAGGCGACGACTGGAGCGACGACAAGCGCGCGCTGACTCTGGATCGCGCGTCCCTCTTCTTACCACCACCACCGTCTGTCTGTCTCCCTGTCCCGGAAATTGCATCATACGCTTGGGGGAGTCTCTGGTAAAGGTCTCAGAAAATACTGTCCTAGCGATTCATCATCGCAGTACGGTATTCGAGCCCGAATTGGAAACGGACGCTCTTCAAGCCAAACTCTTCTGACGCGAGATCGGGCGAGATTCGGTGTCGATCTTGCGCACAAATCCCGTTCATTAAACCGCATAATCTGGGAACGACGTGCCCCCTCCCTCGTCCTTCCCTGCCTCTGCTAGCTCTTCTACATGCAGAACATGGCCACAGCGCACGCTTCGGTCCATCACGTGCCACCGCCCCATTATGCCAATCATCCCTCGGCGCTGTACGGTACTCTGCCTTCCATCCGCGACCTCGACCTCGGGATTCAATCTCAGCCCCAGCCCCAGCAGCAACCGCCTCCTCGCGAACAACAGCATCAGAGCCCGCCTGTCTATCCGCAGCGTCCGCAATATGTGCAGCAGTCTGCTTCTGCCCCGGTCATCAGGCAGGACCAATGGACTCGTACTCCGACGAACGCGATTCCGCAACAGACTCCTACTCTCTCTCAGCTGCCGCCACACCATGGCGCGCCGCAGTATAACGCGCACATACCGCTCACTCCCGAGAGCGCGCCACCTCCACGGAACACGTACGAGCGAAGTGCGTATCCTGAACAACCACCGCTGAAGAGAGCGCGTCCGAGCTCGCGGTCAAGCCATGTATGTTTCTCGTCGCGTGTCGCCAATGTGCTCCGCCTGACATCGTATCCTAGACCGCTTATCCGCAGCAGCAACAGATGCACGCACAGCCGTCGCAGGTGTTTCAGTATCCTCAGGCGCTTCAGCCGCCTCAGCCGCAGGTGCAAGCCCAGCAACAGTCTCATGGCCATGCCATGCAACCCCCGCCACCTCCGGCTTCTGCCTCTTTGCCTCCTACACCTACCAATATCCATGGGCACCCACATCATACCGCATTTGCTACAAGCGCATCGGTGACGGCTTACCCGACGCCTAGTCCAACTCAGCCAGCACCGCCGCAATATTTTCATCGCGGTCCACCTATGCAAGAGTATACTCAACGTGGCGACTTTGCTGTACCTCAGACGCCTCAGCATGTTGAACCACCTCCGCCAGTACCCCAGCTGCGTCATCAAGCTCACTCGCAGCCGCCACTGTCCACGCAGCAGCATTTTCCGTCGCAACATTACTC